TTTTTTTTAAATTTCTTTTATATTTTTAATTTTTTTTTTTTTTTTTGCCTTCCGGTTGAGTGTTTGTGTTGTGTGTGTGTGTGTATTTGCACGTGGTTTTTAAAGGATTTCATTAAAAAAAAAGATAAAAGAAAAGGAAAAAAAAAAGAAAGAAAACAAACTCAAACAGTTACTTCTGTCTTGCTGTTGGTTATGAAGTATGGCTGTGGGCCCAAGTAGTGCTGGCTCCGGGTCGTCAGCGGGTCACTTAACGTCGGGTCTCCCATCCCGTGCTTCCCCTTGTTCGCGTACGCTTGCCGCCTCAGCGACTGGTCGGTGGGATCCCAGGTCTTGTAGTGGGAGTTGTAGCCCAGCGGGTGCGTGTGTATCTTTGCCATCCTGGATTTCTGCCCGTTCTGCCTGGTGAGCCCGCTGTCGATGGTGTAAGCCCGCTCGTCGTCCAGGCGCACGGGGTGCAGGGGCAGGCTGCCCTTGGCCGCCAGCTCTGCCAGGTGGCGGCGCTTGGTGTAGAAGTCGTCGTTGACTTTGTCAGCTGTTCAGATTGGGAAGGGGGAGGGACAAAAAAAAACAAACCAAAGATCAGTTGGACACAATGAAAGTGTTAACCAGTTTACAGCAGGTCATGCACAGTCCGGTCCGCAGATCAGAAGAGTTACAGGTATATCAGGAGGAGAAATTCCTGCTGCCTCCCAGCCCTTAGTATCTCTCTGTAGCATATTTTTGGATGCCATTACTAAGGCTTTTCATATATGCAGACAAAACCCTCTTACCCTGTAACAAAAAGACTGTCCCTGCCCCAAAACACACAGGCTGTGCTGGTATTTCCATTATGGGAAGAGGTCCTGTGGCATGGGAAATTCGGGAAGTGTACAGGAGTACAGAGACTTTCTTGGAAGTATTGAGACATCTTGAGTTGCATTGTTGTATGAGAGCACATCCCTTTAAATGCAAATTGTCATGTGGGTGTTTAACTAAGCCAGGTTTAAGGTCTGGTACTGTGTGATGAGGTGGACCTGTTTGTGTTGAAGAATGCCTTAGGGCAAAATTAAGAATGGGATCTGTTCTTCTAAGTGGTTGGAAGGTCACTAATGCTTTATTGGGCTGAAAATATTTTGTGTTGTTGAATGTTGGGTATTTACCCTGTAATTTCACAGACCATGAAAATCCTAAATTCCAGGTTCTGACATCATTTTCTGGGGTCAGTGCCACTAAGAAATACAGCAACAGCCCTGCCAACAAACACTGCATTGCAGTTCTCAAACGAGGATTTTGCCCTCTGCAATTTCCTAGGCAAGTGTCTTTCAGTGCACACGTTCACTCATGTTTGATTGTTGTTATTGCTGGCATTTGTTTGGCCTTGCTTGAAAGTATGAACACTGCTCAGGAAGCTTAAGGTGTTCTGCAGCAGTCCAGCAGCTCATTTCAGTCTTGGGACCGAGTTTCAGGGGTTTAAGGGAAGATTAACCGAATTTCATTTTTTTAAGATCTTGCCTTTAATGTAAAGAGTGTTTATTTTTGCCCTTCACAAATTTAGATGTTTATTTAAGATAGTGCCAAATGCGTAGAGTGACTCGCACAGTGCTGAGTTAATCAGCAGTGGTGTGCTTTGAATATCTGATCGTGTCAGCCTGGATTTGACTTCTGCTGTGCCCTGGTAGATCCATCGTTTTCCTTGAAGCTATGCCATGTAAGGCTTCTCTGCAGAAGTCCTGTACATGTAGCTGTCTGTACAGCTCAGCTCCTCTTGCCTTCATGAATAGGTTTTTAATTCCCTGCACTAGTTTTTGTTTAGCTTCCCTCTTTTTTTCTCTCCCCAGTATTCCTTGGAGGCTTTTGTTGCACTATGAATTTTCTCTTTCTCTCTAGTTCTAAAGTTGCTCTTTATGCAAGGTGGGGAAATTCCTCTGAGCACCAGATTAATCTTCAAGATCAGGTTTCAAATCTGCATCCTCCTTGTCCTGGCCCCTCAACAGGGAGGAATATTACCAAAAGCAGGTGCTATTTATCATCTCATGACAATTTTTGTATAATGACTGTGCAACTGGACTGTGCACTTAAACCCTTAATTTCATCATTCAAGAGGTGTTTCTTCTTCAGTGAAGTGAAATTACTCTTGGCTGTGCTGGAAAGTTGGGCTTTGTGTGTTTTACCCACTTCCATCTGTTACCTTTTCTAATAGTAGAGTGGATGTTTTTCTGTGGCATACAGGTGTCTTCTGCTTTAAAAAAATCCCAGAATGCAGATAGTGACCTGAGCTTATTTCAGCCCCTGATGTGTAATTGCAATTGCTGATAGACCTGTCATGTGTTACAAAAAGAGTCTGTGAAGTTCTGCTTTGATTTTGGGGTGAGTTGTTTCATTTGGAGATCTACAATCTAAGTAATTAAGAAGTTGTACCTATTTCCCCTTGGAAGAGCTGTTTTCAGTTCTAGATGTGGCTTGTCCTTTTAATTTGTTAATATTTACTGAATGCCACAGAAACACAAGTTGAATAAAATGGGAGGGAAATGCATTTGCATTGCTAATTTCTCATTAATCTGTTATCAGTAACTGAGAAAAATGATTGCAGAAAAGGTATCGTGAATATTCTCACAAATATTTATTTTTATAAATTTTTACATCAAAGGCACTATCAGTGAGCTGGTTAGGGCAGCAAATTTCTATGTCATATGGCTTAGACTTTGTGTGTGAAAAGTCACGCTGGTTTATATAATTTGAATTCAGCACAGTTAATGATGTCCAGCTTTTAATATAGATACATTTGTATGCCTTTTTCTCATTTAGACAGCTTAATTTGCATACAAAAATTAAAAACTAAGCTAATCTCACATAAGAGTAAATTTGCGAGTTTGTACTTTTAATTTGTAATTTTATCTTAGTTATGCTGCAGCAGTTTGTCTTACGTAGCCAAGATCTTTAATCAGTTACAAGGTAAATAATGACTTCTGTTTAGAGAATAGCAGCAGTGATTAAGTTATGTAAATAATGACCAAAAATTGCAGATATTTGCATTGCCTGATTTTTTTGCGCTGTTCTTCTCATTTGCATGGCTGAATGAAAAAGGCCAAAACAAGCTCAAGCTATTCCCTCAGTTGCCTTTAATTTTTCCTGGACCTTTCCTCATTTTCAGCAATGGTCCTGAATTTTGGTCCTTGCATTAGATAGGGTACTCAGATCCCCAGTCACATCAAGGCTGATGTCCTCCAGAAGAGTCAATTGTGTCACTGCTGCATGCAAAGAACACCCCCACTGTTACAACTAAGGGAGGAAGAAACCAGCCTCACAGGGAAGATCACACAGAAAGTGAAATGTTTAATTCCGAATATGTGGGTACATTAAAGTTATTTTAACTAATATAGTCCATAGTGCCTTTCTAGGGACTTCCCAACTGTTGTCTGGAAACCAGGTTTGAAGAGAGCACACCAGGATTGGATCTGTAAATCCTCATCAGCAAAGTCAAGCAGAAATCTGGCAAACAGATGACAAGGGGCTGATTGCATGAGCTTGGTGGGGCAGTGCCAGTGTAGGAGAGCTGCTGCCTGTGTTTGTCCTGATCAAATAATGCTTTGCAGGGTTTTACCTGAGAATCTGACACATGCCCAGGCAGTGCTAGCAGTGGAAGCCAAACTCCTTCTCTAAAGGTTTAACCTCCCTAAAACTGTTTTCTTTCATCTTGCACATGTCCCAGAAATAGGTGGGGGACAATACCATTGTAGCAAAACCAGCAGTGATAAAAGCAAACTGTTCATTTGTTCAAAAGGGCTTTTGGCAAGTCTCGTAGCAGTCCTCATTCTTCCATACTGACTACATCACAGGTTTTATAACAGCAGTGTGCTGTGCCCCAGTACGAGGGACCTGATGCTACTAGTGCAGAAACAGGTTTTTTTAATTCTCATTTTCAAAGCAGAAAATATTCAGAACGGTAATATTGAGCAGGGTGTTGTAACAAATGTTTTACCAAGAAAAGTATAATAATAGTATCCTGATGCCAGCTACTTTAAAAATCAACTGTGAATCTGAGGGAGTTGTTTTTCTTCTTAAGCAGACCCTATAAATATTTTGTGGACTTTAAACATCCAAAGAGATATTTTGGAGTTAGAGGACGGATTTATTATGTGACCTTAGGTACATGACTCAAATTCCCTCTGCCTTGGTTTCACCTGCTGTAAAATGAGCTGTTAGCACATTGGAGGAGGTTGTTGTGTTAGGAAGTTGAATTGCTATTTGCAGAGTACAGTGAGATTTTGATGAGAGGTGCTGTAGAACTGCCGTTTGCATTGGCTTCTGATTATCAATAAGTAAAAAGGATTTATAGGTATCACTGTTGTGTTTGCAAAAGAAGTGAAAAACTAGAATTGCAACATTGCCAAATAAACAATAGTAGAAGAAGGGCCTTAATTCAGAGCATTATTATTTGTGTCCCTTCCTCCTGGTAACTAATGATAAAAATGTTCTCAGTTTCAATATTTCTTTGAGGTTTTTACTTTATGATAATGCACCCTCAAAGCTAGTTACTTTTGTAGCTGTTCATCTGAAAAAAATGTTGAAATACGATTTTTTCCAACCTAAAGAGTGTGCCTGGGAAGGGGGAGTACTTGGGCATTTGCTCCTGCTGTTCACGTAATGAATAACTGAGAAAATACAGACACAGTGTCAGGATCAAAAGCAGGACTTCACCTTCCCAGTTGAACATCTTAACTATCAAGCTGAAGAGATGCTTTCTGTTCCTTTGTCTTTCTGCTTCACTGTGCAAGTTAATCAGGATGGGTGGGGACCAGCAGAGGCTGGGATGCATCGTACTGTGTAGGGAGTTTGGATCTGGATCCCCCTCAGAGCAGTTGTACAACCAGGAGCTTCCCATCCTAAAGGCAGATCATTCCACTCCTCGCTCTTATCTGAATCCAGCAATGCCTTAGAGAGAGTGACCACGACTTATTTTGAGCTTGACTTTGCTAGTACTGGTGTCAAATGTCTCAGATGAGACCTTTGCCTTTTTTCCTTGAATTTTGATTTTGAAAGGAGATGGCTACCAAGCTGCTCGGGATTGTGAGATCATGAAAATTCCCAGGTAAACCTCACTGACTTTAGGCTCGTTTAGATGAAGTCATTGCAAAGAAATAGGCTTTTGTGACTGTAATGTATGTTTTTCTTTCAAAAAGTTTCACCTTTCTGCCTAAATCTGTCACTAATAGAGACGAACTTTTTTTCTTCTTCGCAATCCACAGCTCTATAATGAAAGCAGGCAAACCAGTGAGTCTCTTATGGAGTAAATACCATGGATGAAAACATGTTTTCTTGAATATCAGTGGCAAAAAGCCTTGTGGCTGCCATAGGGCCAGGATTTTTCAGTGTGCCCACGTGAGTTATCTGTGCTGTGAGTGAGGAGGTTCTAAATCTGTGTAATGCTGTTCTGTTCCTCAGCTTCAGTCATCCTCAGGGTCACTGTGTCACCACTTGTGGCACAGTCAGGTGGACATGCATTAGCATTGTGCAATGCTTTCTTGTTCTTGTAAAATACTGCAGGGGTTTTAA